TAGTCGAGTTGCTCAATTTAGGGCGGCACCACGACGTCTGTAGACCAATTTAGGTTAGTCCATCATACTAGTGTATGGTATGTTCAATTTGGTTGAAAAATGAAACATTAAATGCCTTTGCCAAGTAATCACTCGAGCAATTTTTTCGGGTCAAAAGAAGAAAACAATGAATAAGAACCAAATGCGTCGTCTGATTCCCACTTTTTTTACTATTAAAAAATGGTGTTGTTTTGGACCTCATATTAGGGTTTTTGAAAAAGTTTAATTTGATCCTTTAACTTTTGATTTCTTTTAATTTTGTCTTTATTTGACTCTAAATTTTTAAATTAATGCAATTTTACCATTACCAAATTTTAATATCAATCCTGAATTTCAACGCCTTTTTGAAATTTTTTCTTGATCTTAGATTTATATAATTTGACCATTAAACTTTTAATGTTTTTAATGTCAGCCCTGCTTTTCATTAATTAGGCCCCTAATAGTTCGACGCCCTTTACAAAATAACCTTTGGTTGCGAATCTCTTTACTTTAACCCTTAATTGACTCTAAAATTTTGAGTTTCATGTAAGTTTACCCCTAAGTTAAACTAATGGACTTTGTGAAAATAAAATTCGGTCTTCTAAATTTTTGAATTTTTTTAATTAAACCCAAATTGAACTTCCAAAGTTAAATTTTCACCAATTAAGCCCCTAGTAAATTTAATTTGACTCATTTAAAGTATAATTAAGTCTTTGTATAGAATTAAATCCTTTAATTGGACCCAAATTAATTCCTAAACATAATTAAATTTCTAATTTGGCCTATTAAATAGCTAATTATATCTCTAGGCTTAAATTTTAAGCATATTCATCCAATACATTTTTAACTTGACCTTGAATATGCATTATTTCTCTAATTTTGGATAAAATAGGGTACAATTAGGGATTTAAAGTTGCACCTTGATCTTCCTATATATTTGAAATACTCCTCTGCTTGCCTTTTCAAGTCGCTAATCTTCTTGCTTTTTTTATTTTCATTTTTGACTTTTATTTTGGGAAAAAAAAGAAGAAAAATTTGAAGTATAACCTCAAAAATGAATTATGACATATTACTTAATCATTTGTCAAAATTATCCTATGCACTTATTTATATAAAAACATTTTTCTTATATAAAAGGATTTAAAAAATAAATATTAAAAGAATAAGGATCAACATTGAAGTACAAAATAAATTTTATATTTGATTCAAGGGTGAGATTGAAAAAAAATAATTCAAAAGAATAAGGATAAAAATTGATATAAAAAATCAAAATAATATTTTAATTGAAAGGTGAAATTAAAAAAAATTACAAAAAGATAAAAAACAATTAAAAATCAAAACAAATAAAACTTATATAAAAACTTCAATGTAAAAAAATTTGAAACCTAAATATTAAACACCAAATTACAAAATATAATATTTGACAAATTAAAATTGAAAGATACAGTTGGAAGCACATAATGTTTCTATAAGAGGGCAAAGATCAAGAAGCTCCTTGAGGTCTAAATTTTTTACTTTTAATAATATTTTTGTTGTTACTCTGTGTATTTTAATTATGTATTATTTTTTATATTAACAAAAATACTATTTTTAAAATTATGCCAAGTTTAATATTTTTTCACTTACAATAATATTTTAATTATTTTACTATTATATCAAGATGAGAAAAGACTCATCTCTCTCTATTAAATTAACAAATATGCACTATTAAAAAACTTCAATACCCTTGAAAGCTGGTATTAAGTTTTTTAGGTGGAGGAATAAAAATGTCATTATACAATATTCTAATAAATATATTAATGAGTCTGTTCCTACAATAATTTTCCAAGGCAGAAGATCATTAACCTCGCTCTAGGATTTCTCTTGTTTTTTTTAAAACATTATCGTAGCTTAAACATTTTTTCTAGCATTGAAAAAATATTTGATTTTCCTAGTGGTGAGGTGGGAGCAACTGATCTAGTATGTCTAAAGTAGCTTACAAGCACTTAAAAAATATTTCACCAAGAGATTTCACTAGTAATCAATTATTTTTAAAGGGCCTATAAACGAGTTCAAGCGAGTATTGGTATGATTAAATTTCACTCATGCTCGGTTTGTATTTATAATGGGCAAGCATAAGTTTGACTTGCTTAAATTTAATTTTTGTTAGATTTAAGCTTATTTCAAGTTTAGCTGGTTGAAGTTTCTTAATAATTCTAAACCAACTAACCAAACTTAAATTTATTTCTTATAAATTATCATTGGAATATAATTCATAGAATATAATGAAGGAAAAAACTATAAAACTTGTTTATATAAGTTCTATGATATGTTTAAAAACTTAAATAATTAGCTATAGTATAATGACAGTATAAAAAATTTGTTTGTAAATTAAAAAAAAACTAAACCCCATGAAAAAAATAAAGAAGAGGTCAAGTGGTATTCTTGAATTTTCTTGATGTTATTTTTGTTATAATTTATTTAAATTAGGGGTAAATTAGTTTTTTAGAAAAGAAAAAAAATGCTAGCGTGTATAAGGAATGTGCTAGTAACTAGAGCATTGCATATGCAACATCTTACAATAGTTAAAAAAATCCAACCACCATATCATTCAAAGCATTTACTAACAACACAATTGATATTGTGGTGCCAATAATGCAATTCATGGTAGTTAGGTGCTGATGGAATTTGTTTCCCTCTATCTTTTCTTTCTTATCTTTTTAAAATTCATGTTGTGTTAATCAAAATTTAGAGTTTTCCTATTTATTTTTTTCTTTAAATTGTAATTCTTTTCTTTTGATTGACCTATATTTGTTTTGGATTCTTTTGTTTTTTCAATTTCTTCAATTTCCATATGGTTTTATATAATTTTTATATTAAATATATTACTCATTATTTTAATTAATGGTTTTTTTAATTTTTTTAATTTATTTTTTTAATTTTATCCCTTAAAATTGTATTTTATTTAATTTTTATCTAATTTTGGTCTTCATTCTTTTAATTACTTTTTTTTAATCATTTTGTTTTAATTTTTGTTTTCAATGTTATCCCTCAATATTTTATTTCACTTATTTTTTTATTTAATTTTGGTCCTTATTCTTTTAATTGCTATTTTTTATCCTTTTCTTATTTTATATGGTTATCCTTGGTCAAGGGTTAGTCAAGTTAACCAAGTTTGTTTTGAATATTTTTAAATATTTTTTTTTTCAATTTTATCATTTAATATTAGATTATTAGGTTTTAAACCTTCTTATTTTTTATGTTTTTTTTTTATGAGATTATTCCAAATTACTGATTAATCAAGTTATTTTATGTTGATTCAGATTTTTTTTTCTAATGTTTTTATGCCTATTTAACTTCAATCCTTTTTCTAGGTTATTTTTTAAAAATAATTTTTTAAGCGTGATCGCATGTCATAGGTGGCAGATTAATAGAGTGAATCTAGTTTGACTTAGTTTTTTCCTTCAATATTTTTTAAATTGATTTTTTTCTATTTAATTATTTAATATTAGATTATTAATCCTTAATTTTTGTTGTTTTTTTGCTTTTCATTTTATCTGATTTCACGTATTTATCAAATTAACATAGCTAAACTCAAGTTATCATTACTTAAATATCTTTTTTTACTTTAGAAACAATTGACTCAACCTATGGCGTAATATTGATGAAAAATATAGTATTTTTCTATGCGATTCTTTTTATACATAATTTTAGTAGTTAATAAATTTTTTTTTTAAATATAAAAAATATTAAATCTGTTATTTTTTGAAAACCAAGCGAAAATCAATTTTGCAAAGGGACAATTATTTGAGTTGCAATTGGATTAAAAAAAGCCAACACTCTGGAAGAAGTCAAAAGGAAAGTGACGAAAAGAGAAGATAAACTTTGTCACGCTATCAATAATACATCCATGGAATCTATAAATAAAAATACAAATACAGTTGTTGTGTTGGAATTAAGTTTATTATCAAACAAACCACTGTGAAAAAAAATAAGCTTTGGAGAGCAATTCTATTTTCTATTTTCTAAAAATAAGCTTTGGAAAAATATTATTTTAAGTAAAAAAATAAGTATTTTTATTTGCAGAAATAAAAAATTTAGATATTTATATTTTATTTATTGGGTTTTATCTATCCATATAGATAATAATTATTCTAGGATTATTTACAATTCCACTTGGAAAAATGTGTGTATGTGTATATATTGAATGAAAGAAATTAAATATTAGTAACATAAAATGTCATATTCTGTCAGCAAAGAAATTCCTTCTTTTCTTTCTTTCTTTTTATTTTTATTTTTCTAATTTTTGGTGCCGTATAATCTAAAAGAAATAAACGAACAGTTCTACTTTTGCCATGCATCTTATTTTCCGGTTATTCCGCTCATGTGTTCGCAGGCTTCTCCAGAAAGCAAAAAAATTGTTAGGGTGTTGTTCAAAGCAAATGAGTATGTTTCAATAAATCCTAGTTTCGTAGGTTGCTTGGAAGGAGCTTTGAGCATTGGTGACTGGCTGGAATGACAAGGTCATCAGTACAATGTAACTGATGACAAAGAATGGCCGGATTGTGGTGAGTGTATATTTTCTTTGCACAGTATTTGTCGTGTGATTACCATGAACAAGAGGCTGAAAATAGAGCATATGATCACCAATGACAATCACTGTCCACATCTTCACACGAGGATGAAAATATCAGGAACTACAAGCCTGGAAGCATGTTGTTTTTAAGCATCTAGGCTCTTTGTTCAAGTTGTGTTCCTGCATATATAGGATATTAAGTGCTTCCCTCTTTTCAATGCGGGAAGTTTTTTTCTTACGCATGCTAATCAAATCGTGATATTGGAATCAGGTGTTTAGAGTGCAAAATGTAGTTAAATCACACCGCAGATTCGCCTCAAAGTTTTTATTTAAGTAGAGTTTGTATTAGTAGAGTTATTTCTTTAATTTTCAATGGTCATGACCAAATTGCATTAGGAGAAAACCAACCTTTAAGATACCCAGCACCTTCACCGATAACAGAGCGTTTCATTTATTTTCTTTGCTAGATTCAGCTAAACTTGGAATGCATTCGGAGAAGAAAGAAATAACAAAGACAATTAACCTTCGAATACATTGCGAGAATAAAGAAATCACAAAGACAATTAATGAGTCAAGTATAGTGTAGGGTAATGGATGTGGAATTAATCAGGCAACCAGTTTAGCAGATTCCCACTCCACAGCCTTCTTCAGGAAACTGTCTTCTTCCAGGACCATCTGAACAGGCAAGAAACCCATACCATTGGCCATGGCTAGCATCATTTGCTTGGTCTCTGACTTGAACTCTTCTAAGTCCACTGCCCCATTCAAGTCATGATCAAATTGGACAAAAAGAGAACCATAGACGAGAGCAAGCTCATCCGGGTCTGTTTCCACATCTACGCCGAAGTGGGTTTCCAATAACCTCAAACACTGCAGCTCCTTCAACATTTCCCCGTAGGAAAGCCGGCCATCATGGTCTGAATCAAGGTGGGCGAAGCGGTCACATATATGCGCGTTGAATGCTTCCTCGTCCTCCAGAAAGTTGACAATGGTGGCACCATCCAAAATCTCCACACTCATTTTTGGTCTCTCGCAATTTACTCACACGCTAGAATTAGAGAAGGTTAAAAACCGTAAATTAAAGGGAAGCTGTAGAGAGAACTAATTTGATATTTTGATGAATCAGGAGCTGGTTCTGTGGTCTAAAATAAAGAGAAGCTTTCGAGATAACTGATTTGATGTTGATGAATAAGAAGTTGGTCTTGTGCTCATTTATACGTAAATGAGGAGAACACAGACAGTTGACGAGCAGTCAGAAATATAGTTAGCACCCAGTTTCCATTCGGTTTTTGCTTTTCTGAGAAGCTTCTAATTACCCTTCGCTGCATGGTTTTTTGACGCTTAGCATAATTTGCTGCATCCTTCGAGGATCGGTCGGTCAGCCACTAAAATTTTATTAGTAAAACTATCTTAAACAGGTGAGCCATCAGTCATGATCTAATGGCAATGGCAACTTACGAACGGGCTTTTCCCCTAATAAATTCGGTGGGCTAGCCGTGTTTATAAAGTCGAAAATTAAATGGAAGTTGACTTCCTCGGAGGTCCAAAGATGTCTATTCTCCTTGTAAGACGGACCCGACCATGTTCTTTTTCTTCTTGTTTTTTTTCTTTACCCCGCAATACACAACAAAAATGCAAATACGGGCATATAGTTGTCTATTCTACTTGTTTTGTTTGTCAAACATTAAATAATGGGCATATAATTGTCGTAGATATTTAAACAAACTTAATTATGGTTCTAACTGAATTTTTTCATTTTTTTTCATTTATTCACAGATGGACTTTTAGAGCTTGATGCTTACAATATTCTTTACTTATTTATTACCATGTCATGTTTAATGGATTACTTAATCATTTATTAAAATTATCCTATGTACTTATTTATAGAAAACCATTTTTCTTATACAAAAGGATTAAAAAAATAGTAATTAAAAGAATGAGCATCAAAATTAAAATACAAAATAAATTTTATATTTGATTAAAGGGTGAGATTGAAAAGAAAAATTAATTTAATAAAAAGACAAAACAATTCAAAAGAATAAGGATAAAAATTAACTTAAAAATTCAAAAGAATGTCTTGATTGAAAAGTGAAATTAAAAAGAATAATAACTTTTACAAAAAATATTATGAAAAAATTAGAAATCAAAATAATAAGGATAAAATTGAAAAAATAATATCATTAATTTGAATTGAAAGATGAAAATGAAAACCAATAAAACTTATACAAAAAATTCAAGCTAAAAAAATTTGAAATCCAAAAATTGAGGACCAGATTGAAGACTATAATATTTAATAAATTGAAATTAAAGGATGCAATTAAAAATAAATAAAACTTTTACAAAAAGGTCAAGATCAATTAACCCCTTAACTCCATGTTTAATTTTTTTGCTTTTAACAGGATTTTAGTTGTTACTATATTTTTTTAATTTTTTTAATTTTTTTATTTAATCAAACCCTAAATTTATGGGTTGCTTGGAAGGAGCTTTCGGCATTGCTGACTTATTGCAATTACAAGGTCATCAGTACATTGTAACTAATGACAAATATTGATCGGATTGTGGTATGTGTATATTTTCTTTTTTACAAATAACACGATCAAAAGATTGATATTTTTTTTAAGTGCAGAAGTGTCGAAATAATAAATAATCAGGCAAAATCGGGGTCGAACCACAAGGAGCTTAATTAGTAGTAGTAGTAGTAGTAGTAGTAGTAGTAGTAGTAGTAGTAATAATAATAATAATAAAGAAAGAGAAGAAGAAGATGATGATGAGAACTTGGAGATGGAAAATTAATGTAAGGATTAAACAATAATAATAACAAATGTCAAGGTTAGAGGTTCCACTAATGGTATATCAAACAAGTATAGTATAAACTCTTATTATTCCATTGGAAACCACACACAAAGGAGGTTCCAATCAGTTATATATTGTTAACATGATTACATTAGTCATCTTATTTGATTAATGCTAATACTTGTAAATCTCGTCAAGCATTCATGATTATAACTTATATTAACAACAAATCAAGTTCCTTTCATATCACATGTGTCGGTTATACCATACGATTTGTGCTAAACTAGAGCATAATCTTGATCTAGAAATTCAAGATGCCTAAATGCATGAAAAATACCTCTTTTTATAGGCCAAAATTAGAAACTATTGATTTGATGACTAATTGATAAGTGGGTGGCCAACTTTTGACTTGGTGACAATCCTTATCTTCTTGTTTGAATAAAAATTCATTAATAACATCAGAATTTAAACTATACCTCCACATGAAAGTTCTAAGAAATTGTCTCAGCTTTCTAGGAAAAAAATTGAGGTCATTTGAACTTCTAGAATTCATGATATGAGCTGAACACTAAATAATATTTGGGTTGCATTCAAGTGCAAAATGATGATATAAAACCATGATAAAAATGCACTTTTAAGTACTAATCAATCACCTTTTAAAATCTTGAACTCTTATGAAAGTTATAGGCTTATGTCTTATCTTTCCATCCATATAAAGTAGACCTAAATCTAAGATATACAGCTCCAAATATCACCCAATTACCGAATAGTGTTCCAATTTGGACTGCACCAACATCTTTTTTCTAAGTTTGGTTATCTCTTTGTCCTTTCAATTTCAGTACTTAAACTCATCAATAAATCTTTTTATTTATGTGATAGGCCTGTATTTAAGATGAATATTTACCATAAATTAAAGTTATTTTATATTATTAGATATGTTATTATAAAACATACTTTAGTTAAAAGTTATTGATACTTCAAGTGCAAAATGATGACATAAAACCTTGATAAAAATGCACTTTTAAGTATTAATTAATAAAGATTCATTGTGTCTCATTACACATACCTGACATAACATAAATTAACGTACGCCTCCACATAAAAAGATGTAAATAAAGATTCGTTGTGTCTCACTACACGTACCTGGCATAACATAAACTAACGTACGCCTCCACATAAAAAGATGTAAGATAAGAAAGTATTTAATCCTTAATAAAATTACAATGAATAAGAGGCTAGAAATATAGCATATGATCTCCATTGACAATCATTGTCCACATCTTTACACGAGGATGGAAATATGAGGAGCTACAAGCTTGTTTGTATGTTCTTTTTAAACATCAACGTTCTTTGTTGAAGTTGTGTTCCTACATATATAGGATATTATGTGCTTCCCTATTTTAATGTTGTCTTAATTGCATAAGATGAGATCATGAAAATCCTTGTTCTTGTATGAAATTTCTTACCTGGATATCATCAAGTTATCAATGAGGAGTGAAATGTGGCAATTATTGTATACATGGCTTACAATCTTGAAGGAAAGATAATAGGGATATTGGTGCTGGACACATCAAAAGGATTTTACTCCAACGTTTGAAGCCTTTCAATTGCACTCTACTGTATCATAATAGACTTAAGATGGAGCTAGAGGTGAAGAATCAGACAGGGGCAAAGTTTGAGGAGGATCTAGATTTAATACTTTCTAAATAAGACATAGTTTTCGTCAACATGCCACTTACAAAGAAAATAAGATATGATTTTCAATAAATTTTAAATATAGAAGTTTGGATCTTTTGCCTTTAAACCTTTATTTTCCCTAATGACCTAAGAGAACAACAAGATTAACTACTGATCTTCATGTTCTAATTGTAGTAATTACGTTAAATGATTTCAAGATGCTCAGATTTGTGCCTTTTATTTCCGAGAATATTAGGATGGCTAGTTTGTTGATTTTTTGCTCTTCAACTATATAATTATCATAAAACTTGACAAGCATATTCTTGATCTCCATGTCCTCATCACTACACCTTTCCACCCCCTATATGTTACGACATAAAGGATCAAGAGGGAAAAAAACCTCTTCTCATAGCTGGAATTGGTTCTGATCATATAGATTTGAAGGCAGCAACTGCTATTGGGTTAACTGCTAGAAAGGTCACAGGAAGCAATATTGTCTTAGTTGCAAAAGATGAGCTCATGAGAATCCTTGTTCTTCTATAAAATTTCTTACCTAGATATCATCAAGTTATCAATCAATGAGAGTGGAATATGGTAGTCAGATAGGGGCAAAGTTTGAGGAGTATCTAGATTCAATGCTTTCTAAATGTGATATAGGTGTCATCAACATGCCACATATAAAAAAAACAAGGTATGATTTTCAACTAATTTTAAATATAGAAGTTTGGACCTTTTGCCTCTAGACCTTTACTTTCCTCCTTCTGATAATCACTTAAGAGAATAACATGATCAACTTTGTAATAATTGTCATTTTATTAGTTTAGATTAGTGAAGATCTTTTTATGGTTGGTAAAAGGATAACTTAGCTAAGATAGAAGTTTACAAAGATTAGTTAGCATTATCTTCTCTCTAATTATCTTATTAGTTTAGGTTATTAAAGAGATAAGTTCAAATAGAGTAGAAAAAGTTATTCAAAGATAACTTTATCATTATTTTTGTAAAACATGTTAGTAGTCTGTTGCCAATACAACAATCTAAGAAACTTGAAGATTTTCCTTATCTTTATCACATAAGACATGTATATAAGGAAATTTAAGTATAAAAAAAGTAGTGCATGATGTGCTTGATACAACATTGAAGAAAGAATGCCAACTTATTAAGAAGTTCACATAGCGTTTCACAACAAATACTTTTAACTGACATATATTGGCTAGTCAATACGAATGTT